AGAGGCCATAAGCTATAAGGACCTTATGAGCGGCAAGGAGAACAATCAAATGTATGCTGAACATGAGAGAAAGGAAATCGCCGTAATCAAACAAGTACGATTAGACCTTTTCGTTCATAAGTCAGTCTCTTTCTGGAACCGTCATGACAACTGAGAGCTGTTCGGAAGAGTACAGTCAGATCACTTCAGCTGTACGCAAGAAAATAATCAATCAAAGAGGACTCATCCTCTTTTTTAGCGAATGGTAGCACGAAAATATCAAATTTATTAACATATTATTATTTCAGTCTATGATATTTACATATCACAAGAAATTCCGTAATTAATATTTCATCAACTAGATCTTATTAATATGTAGTTATCCATTCAATAAATGCTGTATCTCTTATTCAATCTCCCAGGACTCGCGATCCGCTTCGAATTGTTCATCCGTGAAGAAGGGCTTATCGATTAATCTAAAGTACCTTATAAAGTATTATCACAAAACCGCTACGAAACTCAAAGCACAGCTCTTGAACAAGCGGATTATTTGTTAGCCTGCATTTGAATTCTCCTTAGATAACTTACTCGATAGCAGTCAATCCACACAACGGACACTGGGTACCAATTATTTCATTAATCTCGCAAGTAACCTTCATGAAACGTGCCTTCCTCTCTGAAAGCACCTCATTACAATGTTCAGAAAACTGTGTACAGACGGGTGGTGCAACTGAAGCGAAATTAAGACTAACCATCAGCGAACTTGTCGGTAGCTGAAGGGACTCGGTCGGCAGCTTGAAGCTGCGCAAACAACCTCTTCTCGGTGGCTTCAAGATCAGCGAGGCGGGCTTTTGATTCCTATAACGAAGTTCTTGAGTTTGCTTCAATTGTTGTCACCTAGGGTTGGCCTTTCTTTCAACCCCATCTTAACTGAAAGCTCAACTGTTCTGAAAAAAAGATCTTCCTGAAGTCTCGAACAACAAAAATTTAAAAATTAAGCGAAGCTCCGGGTCGACCGAAGTGTCTTTTTTAAAATGCTGCCCACTATCTTTCCAACCAGATTCCACCTACTCTTTTTCTACACAGTTTTTTCCAACCAACCTCACTCAGGAACGGCATCATTTCTTCTTCCAAGCACTCTCGATGAAAGAAATGTCGGCAGTGATGAGCATGAAAAGGCCTCCCAACCAGTGAGCGCTCACATTTAGCGCACACATCTCCAGCCTTCACGATGGTCACCCTAAAGAATAAATGGGGATAATATAGTTGAAGAAATTTCAAAAAGCTTATGCACAATCATGGAGCAGGCAAGAACGTTCCTCACGCTCAATTGGAAAACACTGCGCAATACATCGCCTATTTGCCTAATCCAGTAACGTTCGAATCATGTTCGAATCCGTGGATGAAATAGTGTAAGAGATTTAGCGCAATTGGTTGAAGTGGAAGTCAAATTTTACCGATCTCGAAGACGTTCGGTCTTTTCCCGGATCTCCTGGGCCATGAGTGTGGCATCCTTCATAGCTTGTTGAAGCTCCTAGACAAAATCAAATGAGGCTTATAAAACAGCGATGCCGACAAAGTCCATCATCCCTCCATGAAATATCACCTCTACCAACTATAATAAATCGATATTTGTAATAAAACACCTGGATTTTGATGGAGTGTTCCTTTAGACACTCACAGAGAGGCTCCTTGAAGTCTTTGATTTCCGTGAAGTCAGGGAAGAATGGGAGAATGTCCTACAAAATATTGTAATTAAATTACAGAATGAATTCGTCGACTGCAGTACCAGAGATCAACATCCACGAATGATTTTCTCTCTTTTTTTAGAAATGGATTATTCAAGAGGCCAGGGGAAAATTTATCAACAGAATCAATGTGTGCTGCAAGCTACCATAATTTGAAAAAAAAATTTGAATGAACCACTATGCATTTTAGTTATAGACCGGAGGATTGTTTTGTCTTCATCATTGAAACACGAGACCTACGTTTTAAAAAGGAACAAATACCTGGATCGAAATAACGTCTCCTGACTCCTTCAACAAGGCTAGGCTATCTGCCGCGTTTTCGCCTTTACCAATAACGAAGGAAGCTGGAAAGCTCTTCATTCAACAGTAGTGACTTTTGTGAAAATCGCCTAACACACCGATTTTCAACCATATCCTTCTTCTGTACTCCACAGAGAATTTTGGCTCAAGCCCCATTATAACATCTTCTTCATCCGGATCCATCATATGCGCACACTCCTTCGCTATTGTCACACCATTATCCGGGAACGCCTAGAAGACTAGAAGTGCGGATTTGAAAAGAAGGTGGAAAATCCTTATCTACTTCAAAAGCACCTTCAGAGCAAGATCGACAGCATCAGTGAACATCTCTGATACGCAGTACAAATACACGGTTGACTTCTCCAGCTCTACAGTACTTGTGGTATACCGAATTGTTAAAACAGTCTTTCATAATGTTACCGAAGTAGAAGTACTACACTTACTGTATTGTTCACATGTTCTCAAAGCAAAATCGAGATCATATGGCACAGCCGTCTTGTCAAAACCGCACTTTGTAAGATATTCGTGGAGGCGCCTCGGTCGAAACCGGGCGTATAGAAGGAGAAGAAGATTATGGAGTGCTGTGTCCTCGGCAGCACCGTGATTTGTCACAGCCCACTCAAGGTACTTGAGCGCATGCGTTGCCTGAAAANGAAGCGAAAAGCTCCATCGATATGTGCTTCACCAGCTTAGGAGAATAAGTATAGTACAGATCCGGAATATTCTGAAAAATGGAACTGAATACATTCGAATTCGGATAACAGCAAGCCAACACCTAAGTTGAGATCTTGCCTGGCTTTTCAGTATTTCTAGTGCTTCCATATATCGTTCCCTTATCAAATGAATAGAAATAACTTTATCGAAATCTACAAAAAATTGTCAGCAGTTAATTAGAATATCCATTTATGAAGCCTGATTAGCCATACCTCCAATCTGTTTAGCAAGGAATAATTGTGAATCGAAATCAGCATGTGACGCCATCAGACTGTATACAGCATCTTTATTGACAACCACGCTGTCCTTAAAGAATATGGTATTAAAAGGGGTATAATTAGCTCGGTGCAAATCCCAGGAACTTACATGAACGTTCTTCCTCATTAGGAAGCGTTGCAAATGAGTAGCGAGATCAGCACTTTCCTGTTCACGACCCTCACGTCGTGCTTCCGCTAATTCAGCTAGTTGGATTTCCAAAAGCCATATTACCAGCATTTCTCGTCGCAGCCGATCCTAGAAAAACAAATTAATGATTAATGCCTCTAATTCCTGCTTCGTCGAAAAATTTGCGCTGCGCTCAAAGTAGGTAACTCATTGAAGATCCCTGCAACAGAAACTGTTAGCATTTAAGTATGTCTCACGTCTAACTATGGGGACACATCTCACTACCACGTTGTGCTGATGGTCTATAGAAAAAAAATCTGGAAACAAATTTATTGTAAAGCTCAATGTTCTCACCTCGGGACGTACCATTACATCCAGTTTTTTCTCCAGCAAAGTCTTCAATCCCAAATGTCTAGGATCATCAGCCGACATAAACTTCAGGACAACAGCTTCAAAAGCCTCAGTGGATTGGGCCAGAATTTCCGCAGCTGCTGTGAAGCTGCAACATTGCAATGTGGTTCGAGAAGAAAGGAATCACGCCTCATTCTTACTCAACGGAGGTGGTTGTGACAATGAATAAGAATTTTGATGAGCGAAATGAGGTACTTGAATGAAAACATTAATAAATTGTCGAGAACAAGTGCAATATGAACAAGTTCCAAAAGTTTGGTTCGGAAAATTTCAATAAAAATGCAGAAAAGAGACAAGGAAGGTATAGAAAGAAAAACTCACTTTTTCTCAGCTATGTATTTGTCTGCTTGCCGCTTCAAGACCAGCTCGTGAGCTTCAGGATCAATCTCTAACCTACTCCGAGCTATCATGAGAGCTTTGGCATAGTCTCCACGTTCGAGGAACACTCTCCAGACGTATCTGAAAAATAAGCAATTAAGGATGATCAGTAAGATCAACTGCAAGAAGCAATGGTTTCTACTCGAAACCGCTAGGAACCGAACCTGTTCTCATCTACTGGCTTGTATTTCATCGTCACATGACTAGTGTAAAGCCAGTGAAACTCTGATGTTGGATCGCTCACCAAACCGAGAGAAGTACCAAACTCCTGTAAGAAAGTTCACATCTCGCAAAATTTTTCCAAGAACTACGAAGTTTACACTGAAGCTTTCAGATACGCTTACCGTTGGCCAGACATCCTCGTATACCACAGTTTTTGTATAAATCGACAAAGCTGTGAGCCTATTGGGATATGCAAGAAGCATGTGATAATCGGTCAACGACACTCCGGTGGGACGCTCGAGCCGGCCCTCGAAACGCCTGTGCCTGTAAAGTTTAATTCGTAGCTGTGAAAAACATGCAATAAGGGACTCCAACGAACTTTCATCCTCCTTATGGAACTTTATGAGCATGTGCACGCTGATTGGTAAAGTTTAAAAAGAGTAATGCCAATCCCTCACTCCATGTGATCTTCTTCTTCAACAATATCTCGAGGTTTGTCAGCGAAAAGATTAATTTTTCCGATTGTTATTCCATCAGGTCCCATCCAGAGAAAACGATGAGCCTCTCCCTGAGGAGGATACACCAGAAGTGCACTCAATTCATGAAGACTTTGAGACGATACTGTGCTTTGCATTGACAAACATATTTGTTGAGAATCTAAATGAGAAAAACAAGTACCATTACCACCTTGACTAGAAGAAGGAAGGTCAAAATAGCCGACCTTTAGTTGAGAAAAATGGGTGGAATATATGAGGAGGTGCTTCTGGCATGGAGATCCACCCAGCCTGCAGGTTTGCCGCTCCAATATAGTTGGATTTTGCTGGAGCAGACGTATCAATAGAAGCATAGACTGAGTATAACCGACCAGGCTGACAGACTAACATCAACCATCTGAAACCCTTTTCATACACATTCATATGTATATGGAATATATACAGTGTTAACAGGATTTGGCTAATGTCAATTAAATGAGTTTACACTTGCTGGGTTGTTACGCAAAAAACTCACTTTGCCGCTTTCGGATTATCATCGTTAAGCATGTACAAATAAAGATCAGAAATACCAAGCTTCTTCTCGCCACCAAAACTCGAAGTATGCTCCTTCACAAAACTTGCCACACCAGTTGACGATATCGTGGTTTCAATAATCGCACCTAAACATGAATACCGAACTGAAATGAGAGTAGATCACCTGTAAAAAATCACTTATTGCTTTCCGTACATGGTCATCAGATTTTTTAAATGCCTGACAGTGGTCGGTTTCCAAGAAAAACAAATCAGTTCATCCCTATCAGCCCTCTTGTGCATTTTTCCAAAGGCCGAAAAGGTTATTTCCATCAAAAGTTAAGGGAAACCATTTGAATGCTTGGTCTATGTCATCGGAAAAATCACATAGAACCTGAGATCGAACTTATGAGAATGGATGACTTGTAGCTCAAGACGTGCAGATTCCCAACGTATACACTGAAACCAGTTGTGGTCTGGCGAAAATTTGAAATTTGACTTCAGGGAAGCCTAGAAGTCACAGAAATTTGACTTCAAGGAGGCATAGAATCCACAAAAAGATAGATAAAGTCATAAGCGGGTTGGCAGATGACATCTCCAAAGCAGTAGACATGATGCACTAGACGGTCTACCTTGAGATGTTCGTAACTTGATTTATACATTGCCCACTGTGTGGTGGAAACAGCAAATATGCCACGAAGCATTGAGGAAAACTTCGAAGACACTCTTACAGGGTTAAGAACATGGNATAAGTATAGTACAGATCCGGAATATTCTGAAAAATGGCATTGAATATATTCGAATTCGGATTGATAACAGCAAGCTATAATCTTTTATAAATTGAGCTCTTGCCTGGCTTTTCAGTATTTCTAGTGCTTCCATATATCGTTCCCTGATCAAATGAATAGAAATAACTTTATCGAAATCTACAAA